AGTGGGATCTCAGAAAAAATCTTGTGTGAATTTTGAGCGAAAAGTTCGTTATCGCTTTCGATAGATTGCCGCGCTCCGCTACGCGTCGCGTGGGCAAATTTCTGTATCAAGCGGCAAAGTATCACTTTTCGCTCTAAAAACAAATATCCTTTTTCTACGATCATTATCCAAAGTAGGCTTTTGCGCCTAGAAATACAGCCGCAAAGTTGATGTTTTCCGCGAACTGATATTAAGTGACAGCTTTGTCGCTCGCCGAGCGGAAAACTTGACAGCTTGTTGGTCGACTAATTTAAATTAGATATTAGTATAATATATTTTTTTAATAAATGATATTCAAGTTATTTGTACGTAGTTTGATGTTTTTTGTTTTATTAATCAAGTTAACATTGACTTTGAGTATCAACTCCGTTTTTCATAATTAACTTAGATATAGGCAACACATTATACAATGCTTACGACAAATTTTCAGTGTTTATATCTATTTCTTAAAATAATGTGATGGTAGAAAAAATCTTGTGTGCATTTTGAGCGAAAAGTTCGTTGCCGCTTTAGACAGATTGCCGCGCTTCGCTACGCGTCTCGCTGCTAACTTTCTGTCTCAAGCGGCAAAGTAATACTTTTCGCTCTTAATTCACAAATATCTATTGTGCAACAAGATAAGATAATATCCATGTTCCATGTGGGTGTAGAAAAATATGTTTTTCTACACCCACATGGATATTAGCCTATAAGACTATAAAACGAAAAAGTATGCTATTGCGTTCAACTGAACGAATATATTTCATATCCATTATAGGTGCTGAGATCATTGCAAAAAAAATGAATTCCACCAATCACAGTTCATATTTTGGACATCCAACTACTATTAATTTTAAAATTATTTTAAATAAGTGACAATTCTGGCAAACTAAATGTCAATATATTTTTCAGTTACTGAGAATAAATAATAATAATCATAAAACTCTCCCTAATTCACCCCCTTACGAGTGAATTTCAACCCCTGAAGTCGACTGAACGACTTGTGTAGGGGAAGGGACGGCTATTATTATTATTTGCCGTGGCGCTCCGGGGCGACTTAAAGATGATTGATGGTGCCATTTGACTTACAGGTGAGGAAAACCCGGAAAACCTCACCCACCATCAGAAATATACATCAAAATGAGTTATTTTTGTGTAGAATCGATAAATAATAGCATTTTTATTTTTATTTGGTCAACATTTGAAAAAATAATTAAGTTTTGATCAAAATATATGAAACTAATTTAATTACTAGTATTGAAAATAAAATCCTAAAAGTGGCGGTGGAGGTGAGACAGAGCATCTGCCTTCCACGCAAAAACCCGCGTACTTTTTTTCATGTTTATTTTATTTTATAAATCAGTAAAAATCAAATTATTTTAAAATTAGTTATTTTGTCTTAATAACCTATAATAATTTTTAAATTTGTATTTTCGCTAGTGGATCGTAGAAAAAATATACTGTACAACTCGAGTGGATTGTTCATATTCACTCTTGTTGCACAAACTACTATTATTAGAATTTTGTTTCGTTTTTTGGAAAATGTTTTTGACAGTTTTGTTTCTTTCCAGGATAGGTCGAATCTTGTTTTTCTCGTAGAGATATTCATTCGTTGTTAACCCCCCCCCCCCCCCCCCCCCCCGCCCCTTATCTACGCTCTTGTTCATTCTAGTTATTATATTGTGAGTGAATTCCATGAATTTCCATGTTATTTGGTCAGATTTTTTGTCAGTGTTTTTACTCGTAGGTTGGAATTCCTAATATTGGTGTTGTGGGATTTTTAGGACATTTAAATGACCAAGGTTGATGATCTTCTGAGCCACATCCACTTTATTTTGGGGTTTGCGTGGTTGGAAACTTGTTTGTGGAATGAGTTTCAGCCACATTTATTGTTTTTTATTGGTTCTGGGCAATTTTCTGTTGAGTGGGAAAATTTCAAACACTTATTGTAGGGCACTGGAGTTTGAGGTGGCGGATAGCTCGTATAAACAACATAATGACCGCATTTGTAATATTGTCCTTTTGAGAGAAGTTTTTCGTTAAATTTTAGTTTTTATATTATAAGTCTTGTGAAATGATTTGTTGGAGTATACTGTCTTTTTTGAGATGATTCTTTTACATTAGTGGAATTCCCCTCCAGATGAGACCATTTTTTGTGAGATTTCTTCATCCGGGATTCCTTTTTCGACAGAGGCAATAACATAAGAATAGACTTCAGTAGCTGGAATTTTGTTATCTCTTGAAGCTTGGCTGTAGGGTGTTGTTGCGCTATATTCCATAATTTTATTATTTTTTAATATATTTAGCGTATTTTCCAATATATCTTTAGAAGTGCTACATTTTTTTTTTTTATTTAATATTATGTCGCTATTATTTGGTCTTGATTTCTCCCATAGATTAGCTATTTGGATTCTATTAATAATGGTATTGTTGGTGTTAATATAGAACATATGGTAATTGTTTTTGTTGAAACTGTTTCATGTGTGGTGGGAAATTTAGGGTTCTCCCTGTATTTTTTTCCAATGGAATATTATTATGTTGGTTTTGGATGTTTTGTGTTTTTACTCTTATAAGAAACTACGGAATATCCTTCATTATCTTCAAATAATTTTTTGAGGTGTCGCCCGTTTCTTTTTCTTATCTATTATTCCTTTTTTTGAATGTTTTAAGGGAGTTTGGTGTTGTTCACTACTAATTGTCTCACACTAAAACCTGTGTTTGAAGGCAACAAGCGAATGATTAATGTTACAAAATAATAATAACTTGGGAAATAATAAAACGTACATAAAAGATTTGTCAAACGTTTATTTTAATCTGATCAACTATTTGCAATCTTTTTAATTTTTAATGTAACGCCACTGATAATTTTTAATATACCTAAAAACTATTCTTTTTGTTTTGTTAAACCAAATTATATTTCGAATACACACGATGTGAATCAGAAAGATGGAGGTATCGCCGGTTTTAAAATTTAAAATTGTTTGTTATATTTGTCCATCAATGTTTTTTAAAAATCATAATAATTATTGACAAGATGGAGAAAAGTTGAAACATAATGCAGTGCTTTTTAAATAAAAATTGTGACCGATATTGCCAAGGGACTATTATTTATTTCTATAAAAAATAGTACATTTCAAAACAATCTCAATCATTATTAAATTATACTTTACTGTTTATAGGTTTATGAGCCTTTTGGGCAGGACTGTTCCATGTAAAAAACAAAATTGTCAAAAGAGACTAGTGAAAAGTGAAGAATCTGAAAATCAGAGTGAGGACAAAAATGAAGATGAAACAACATCTACAGTGGAATGCCCTACATCCAGGGTAGAATTTTATATGACATTGAGAGCATTGATAAGAATGGGTAGTGGGGATAAGTGTTTGCAGGAGAGGAATCCAAGAAGAGTGGTAAGTTTTTACTAATTTCTACTGATCAAAAAAGAAAACATAGACATACTAGATATTTAGATATTCATTTGTCAATAAACTTACTTATATATTTATTATCATAGTCAACTATTATCTAATAAATGTGTACGTAACTTAAAGGATCTACATAGTAACCCAAAGTGTCAAGAGACTCAATCAACTCAATCCTATGACTAGTTTTCTATATACATAAGGATTGCTTAGTTTTTAGGCATTTTTATTTTCAAACTGACGAGCTAAATTAAATTTATGTTGCATATGTTACGCCGAATTTCCGTAATTGCCGATTTCATGTAATAGGCAAAATTTTGCCTTATTCGTGAAATCGGCAACAGACTTGGCAATTATTTTACGGAAGTTTGCCTATTTCAAGGAATAGGCACACAAATACTTAATAATTTAAATTCACATGAGCTGTCATACATTTTAATACAAAAGTAAAAAATTTTAATTCTTTCTACATTTCATCACATTCTTTTATAAATAAATTAAAGTCACCTTTTACAAAAAAATATGTACTTTCTTTAGAAAATAAAACTCTAGGTATTATTATTTTTAATATTAAAATATCACAGCTTCCTCCCGTATAGCAAGATATTTTATTACAAAAGTAAAAAAAAGTATTGTTTTTACATTTTAATAAAAATAAATTTAAGTCACATTAAAAAAAAAAACATGTATATCCTCTAGAAAATAAAACTTAAACTAAAACTCTATAGGTAGCACTGATCTGTATTATTTTACTGGATAGGATATAGGCTATATTTAACATACTAACAAATCGTTCCACCAAGGAGACCGGAAGTGCAACAATGCTGGCCGATTGGGGCAAATTATGGTGGGTTCACAGAACTGAAATTTGGGATAATTTGACATACATAACCTATAATTTGATTAGTTTTTCTTCTTCTTCTTCTTCTTCTTCTTCTTCTATTCCTTTTGCGGGCGATGTCCTTCGGGAAATTTCACCCATGATTTGATTTTTTATGAAAGGAAATATAAAAATGGAAACGTGAAGCATATAGTGTCTTCAGGAATGAACGTTTATTGTTT